GCAAATAAATGTATGGAAAGATGCCCCACATCATATATTACCAGGGAAGGGCAAATTAAAACAACAGTGGGATACCAGCATACCTATTAAAGTGACCAAAACCCAGGACAGTGATAACACTGAATACCTAGAAGGATATGGGGAGCTAAGAATTCTCATTCACTGAGCAGAGAGGATATTTAGGGAAATAAAATACTCTGTATGATATTATAATGATGGATACATGCCATCATACATTTGTTCAAACCCACAGAATATGGAACACTAAGAGTGAAGCCTAATGTAAACTATGGACTTTGGGTACTAATGATGTGTCAGTGTAGGTTCATCAATTGTAACAAATGTACCACTGTAGTTGGGGAACATTGATAATAGGGGAGGCTATACATGTGTGGAGGCAAGGAGTATTTTGGAAATCTCTGTACTTTCTCCTCAATTTTTCTGTGAACCTAAAACTGCTTTTTTTTTTAAGATTTTATTTATTTATTTGAGAGAGAGAGAATGAGAGACAGAGAGCACAAGAGGGAAGAGGGCAGAGGGAGAAGCAGACCCCCTGCTGAGCAGGGAGCCCGATGTGGGACTCGATCCCGGGACTCCAGGATCATGACCTGAGCCGAAGGCAGTCGCTTAACCAACTGAGCCACCCAGGTGCCCCCTAAAACTGCTTTTTAAAAAAGTCTTTAAAATGCTAGGTATGAGGGATAAATGTTGCTATATTTATTTTACACATAGAAAAATTAGAGGACAGAAAGTTACATAAAATTAAGTTATTTGCAATAACTGCAGATAATAAATGGAGTAGGATAGGAGAGCTTTTCAGACAAAGGGAATACTGGGGAGGGAAAAGACAAGTTGCATAAAATTACAGGACTTACTTAGAGAATGATGAGTTATTGTGTTTCAAATCATGAAATGAACTGGAAATTTAAACCTTGGAAAATGGGTAACAAAATAGTTCAGAAGAGCTCCTCATGTACCTCACCAAAAAGTTTAAGTTTTTAGCCTGATCAATGAAAGCTATAATGAGGCGGTCAACCAAGATAGGATGCCCAGTGCAGAAATGATCTTGAACTTGGTGAATGTGAATTGAACTCAACAAGAAATAGAGTAAATTGCTGGAATCACTAACCTAAGTGCCTTTTATTTTTTTTTTCCTTTCCTTTATCACGTTCCCAAATACTTAATAACCAAATCAAGTAGATGGCTTATTTTTAATTCCACCTGAGTCAATGTTCTCTCCTAGTACACAGAAAACCACTTTCTCGAAACAGACTCTTATCATTGTCCATCTTGAGTATTGCAACTCCCTCTTACATCCCCCTTTGTTTTATTATCATTTTTTTCCTATCTTCTTAACCACCACAGAGAGATCTCTCTAAAATACAAATATGAGCCTTTCATTCCAATGCTTGCATGTTTCCATTGGCACCCCCTGACTTTCAAGATTAGGTAGAAATGTTGTAACATGCTTTACAAAGCTCTTAATGATTAGGCTTTACTTTATCTCCCCACTTTATGACTCGCCACTTTCCCACATGCACATTGTCCAAGCCAAAAAGTCCATATTTCTCCCAACATGCTCCTGATATTTGGTTTTGGATTAACAATCTCCTGTCTAAATGCCTTCCCTTCTCTTCTCCATCGAAGCCCTTCAGCCAGTGAGAACCAAAAGCTTGAAGTAATTTTGACGCTACTCTCTTCCTCAAATTCCATTTAAAAAATGGTATTATTAACTCACATCTTTTCTAATAACTTTATAAATCCCTTGAGATAATTGTTTCATTTTCACTCTAACACATATTTATTTCAGTTCCATATCCTCTCATAGTTTACCAGTTATAATATTGGTAGTCCTCTATATAAAGGCCTGCAGTTGCTCCCTCTTGTCTCTGAGCCCCTCAACTGACATACAAAGCCCTTCTGCTCCAAGCCTGCCTGCTTTTCCATGTTCATGTTCTACCCTTTCCCTCATGAATGTGGCAATCCAGCACTCCAAACTGCTATACTTTAGTGTCTGCAATTCTTGCTCCTCATGCTTGAAGTGCTGTCTCTCTCTGCTTTCTCCTTTTCACTCCTCACAAATTTAACATCTTGCTATATATGCCTTCATGAGATATAAAATCAGCAATGAATCAAAATGTGAATTATTAACGGTGTTAATCAGACATATATGTAAATTTTTACATATGCATAAATTATATTGAAAATTATGTATGAACTTTTATAGTTTGCAGAATATTTCTCACACAAAGGAAGAATAAATTTGAATTAAAAAAAAATAAACCTGCGCTGAAATTTAGCAACTTTTCATTGCCAGAGCAATGGCCAAGAATCCTTAGAAAAATATAAAAATATTGAGCAGATAATAACTTCAGGTTATTTAATTCTAATATTGTAACTGTTTTTTCAGCAAGTGTGTGTGTGCATGCATGTGTGTATATTAAGAATCATAATTCTGTCTGGGTATCCTCTAGACTACTACAAATACTGTTAAAGTTTAATGTCTCCCAATACCAAATAAACGGATAATGTAGTCTATTGATTTCAAAAGCACTATAGTTCTTCCTAAGTGCCTGATGAAGCAGTAAGTCCACTAAACATTCTCAAATATTGCAGTCAAGACTACATATTAATGGATTATTCACAAGAAAATTATTCATAGAGCTTCAGTGATATGTGAAAGTTATCTGGATCTCACCAGTTACTCCATAAATACTTGTTAAATCAAGTAGATTATTCTCATTTTCCTATAGAGGAAATTGTGTCACAACTAAGTGGACTAATTTGCCAATACTCTCATTTATTCAATAGCAGAGGAAGACATATGACCCAGACTATAATCCTTATGACCAGACTATTTTGGAAGAAGTCATATGGAAGCAAAGGAACTGTTCAAGTATTTCACGTATATTCATGAAAGGGTTTCCATTAAATCAACCTGGAGAGTTGAAACAGAATGTAAAAAGTGATATATGTTAACATATAAGCCTGGATTTAAAAAAGATTAGTCCCTCAGAATTCTTCTTTCTAGGGACTATGTAATGTATGTGATCACATAGATTGCAGATTTGATTTAAGTGTATTTACTTTAATCAGCTAAAAATATCAGAAGCTGCCATGATTCATTTAAAGCAGAGAGGACAAATACATTCAGGACATGCTTTAATTTATGGTACATGAAGCAAAGGTTATAATCATCAGAGAGCGGAAAGAAATGTGTATTACTTAACTCAAATTAGTTCTCATTTTCCATGGATGGTTGAGCTCTCTGAATATTTTAAATGTCTTCCTCACTGCTGAATATCAAAATTAAAGCTAAGAAAGACACATGAAGTTATAATATTCTTTTCAGGCAATGCATATTTTTTTCTCGTCACAAATTCAAAAGAATGTTACTTCAAAGAGACAGTAGTTGTACTTTCTAAAGTCTTTTCATGTATTTTTAAGAGAAAACAAAAAAAGTATATGTGAACACTTCCCTGTTATCAGTTGAAAGGACTCGGTGAAAGGTATAAGAGCAGATTTCTCTAAAAATATCAATAACTTAGATGCAGAGTGCCTTAGAAGCAAAAGCTTTAGCATGTGTCCACTTATGAGATATGGACTAGTGTCACAGGAAGGCAGGGAGTTGAGCCAGACCTGTGCTCTGTGGAGTGTTCTTTCTTTGGGGAAGCGAAATCCTGCCTACTATCCACATATACCTAGTTACAAAATGCAGAACACAGAAAAGGTATTAAGAGAAAAAGATATAAACTTATATAACTTACAAAGCCTTTGAATGTTGAACTACAGAACTTTTCTATTTCTTCATAATTGGCTGATATTTAAATATAGTGTGTGCATTTCCAAAGTGTATCATGTTACACAACAGAGTAATTCTCAAGCCCAAGCAATTTGGCTAACTTCCATTCATTTTGAAAATTTTATTAATTCTTGTCCATTAAGCTCATATCTAAATATGCAAGAACTTGATACAGAAAAAAAAAAAAAAAAACAACAACAACATTAAAGCTGTAGGGAGCCAGTTTGAATTCTATAGCACTTTGGTAAACAATTTAGGATGGCATCATTTAATTTTCTCTAACAACAACAACGACCAAAAAATCAACAAAAGACCATAAGGATATTTATATTGGCCATTGGCTTTTAAAGAAAAGTTTGTTTGTTATTGAAATGCACAACATTAACAGAAATTCAGAGAAAATTTGAATCTGAGGAGGAGCTATGAACCTCTTGTCCAAACTATCTTTGAGAAGAGGAATGAACTGAGGTTGAACATGGTTTACAGCTAACAAAATGCTGCTGCTCATGACGTCAGGCAATTTTTTATACGATGTTTAATGTTTGTGTGTCTTTTTTGGTGATCTTTCCATTGTAAATCACAAAATGCATTGAAAAATGTAAAGGGGTGCCTGGGAGGCTCAGTCAGTTAAGCGACTGTCTTCAGCTCAGGTCACGATCCTGGCGTCCTTGGGTTGAGCTGCCCACAGGGCTCCCTGCTCGGCGGTCAGCCTGCTTCTCCTTCTCCTCCCCGCTCCTGCTCTCTCTCGCTATCTCTGTTGCTCTCTGTCTCTCTCTCTCTTTCAGACAAATAAATAAAATCTTAAAAGAAAAAAAAAGAGAAATGTAAAGAGGAAATGATGTCAGCCAAAGTAATAAATAAACTTCTATGTATATTTTTATGGTAAACTGGGAAAATAAGCCTTCTAAAATGTCTTAGATATTCTTCCATTTACATAATATATATTTTACAACTCAAATCTTCTCCAAATTTATCTGAATCTCAGGATACTTTCTAGTAATTCAAAATTATATGTTGTCTGGGTTCATTCTTAGTGTTCCATTTAAAAACAGAGATATTTATAAAGAGAAATAAGCACATATGAATTTGAAGCTGTATTTGTATTGTGTAAAAGAAAATCTTTCAACAGATACTATTTCAACTTGCAAATAGATAAATGAGATGATGTTTGATCTGATTTGTTCTGACATGTCTGCAGGCAAAATGCTTTTCAAGTCATTGCTGTGGACGGGGTCTGCAGTGGGATTATTCAGTGCCTCTCTGCTGAAGACTGTATTGACTGGCTACAAGCAATAGCAACTAACATTTCAAACCTCACAAAGCACAATGTAAGTAGTGATTCAAGGAATACCTGGCCATAGAGTTTCTCAGCCGTGGTAAATTTCTGCAGTATATATGTAACTTTACAATAACTACTTGGTGTTTACCTAAGAGTGAATTTATATCCATCATGAAAGCTATTCTGGAATACTTATTTAAAGAAAATCACTTTATTTTGAGAGTTTTATCCCAGTGTATCAGTTCAAGAATACTTACACATTTAAGTTATTTTATTTTATTTTATTTATTTATTTGAGAGAGAGAATGAGAGAGAGAGAGAGAGAGAGCACAAGAAGGTGGGAGCAGGAGAGGGAGAAGCAGACTCCCAGCCGAACAGGGAGCCTGATGTGGGACTCGATCCCAGGACTCCAGGATCATGACCTGAGCCGAAGGCAGTTGCTTAACCAACTGAGCCACCCAGGCACCCCACATTTAAGTTTTCATTCACAAACATGATAAACCATCAATGTAAGTTAAATAAGTGAAAATAAATATGTACATATTTATTGTAGGTATATGTACATATAGATATATGTACATATAAATGTAGATATATGTACACATATATGTAGATATATATGTAGATATATATACATATAAGTATAAAAGTAGATATATGTACATATAAGTATATGTACATATATCTGTAGTTATGTATATGTATGTACATATAAGTATAAAAGTATCCTGAACTAAAGCAGTACTGAATTTTGAGATAGCATTATTGAGCTTCCATTAGTGATTTTAGAATTGCAGCTGCAACCATTTGATGGGGTAAGAGGGGAGGGTGAAAGAGTCGGCATGGAGACTGAAGATCCCACCTGGGACGATGCTGGCACAGGAATAGTCAGAAGACATTCTGTGGGAACCAGCAACCCACCTCTTAGAGCCATGTCTATAATACCAGGAATGGCTTCTCTACTTTTTCCTTATTTTTCTACTCCAACCTTTCTTTCCCCATTCCGATCTCTTCATTATCTTTATCTTCTTATTACCACTATTCTTTCATAATCTAATGAATCCTTTCTCCCCCTTACTTCTAGCAGAAGTATAGTCTAACAAAATATGCAAAACTAAAAACATCACTTCCTTGAGTACTGACATAGTTCATTAAAGGTTATTTGATCAGGGCCACATCACTATAATCTCTGCCTCCACAGTCACATCATGTCTTCCTCTGTGTGCCTGTTCTCCTTTATGTGTCTCTTATAAAGACACTCATCATTGGATTTAGGGCCCACTCAGATAATCCAGGATAATCTCGCCCCAAGATTCTTAATTTAATTACGTCTACAAAGATCCTTTTTCCAAATAAGGAAATCTTTGAAGTTCCAGGAATTTGATGTGGATATCTTTTTTTAGTGGTGGGAGGGCAGTCATTGTTTGGTGTACTGCAAAAACTAATATGGCAGACAAACAACAACTTAGATTCAGACATTATGTTCTGATTTATTTCCCAAGGTGGTGTATCTAATATCAGCTGAGTTTTCAAAGTCTTTATTCTGCACTTCATAAGAATGAACCTAGAATTTCTTTCAGTTCATCCATGGAATTAGGGTGTCTTCTTCTCCCTCTTGCTTGTCTCTAGGATTTTCCCCACATTGTCTGGCTCCCAGGGAAGGGCTGTCCTTGATCTGTCCAGAAAGTCAGAGCTTCTCTCAAACTACAGCCTCCTGCACTGTTGTACATTGCTTCATGACTAAACCCTCCTTCAGGGCAAAACAGCATTAAAAAAAAAAAAAAAAAAAGAGAGAGAGAAGTAATAAGGATCCCTCCCATAATGGGGACCCCTCTTCCTAGTTCTTTATTCTAAAGGGTGGGTTTTCTCTTGGGATTTCTAGGTGCTCACAGCAGCTGTTTGACAGCCTGGCCTTGGAGCAGGGTCGTGAGCCTAAAAGAGAAAATGTCATGAGTGTCCTCTCCAGAACCCACGACTCCCAGGGGGCCCTTTCTCAGGCCTCTAGTCAGAAAGATGAGCTTTTCTCACAGTTTTGCTGTTCATGATCTAATTTGTCTTCATCTCATGTCAACTCTGGGAAATAAAGGAAGCAAAAACAAAACAAAACAAAAACAGGAAACCCACTGTAATCATATTAGTTGTTATTAAATTTTTACTTTCTCCCCAGTGTCCTTGTTGTTAATTTCTTTAAAGATTTTTCATGTAGTCGCCTTTTATATTTTGCCCAGTGTATTTAGTTATGGTCAGTGCGAGAAATGGGCTGCAGTGGGCTTATTTCTTTTCGTCTAAAGCCAGAAGCAGGAGTTACTTTTAATAGAAATAAATGTAAGCAAAAAGGCAGTGTACTAAAAGAAAATAATTGCTATCTTATCTTGACATATTTTGGAAATATCCTTTAAGAACCCAGGTAAAACTAAGTCATTTTCAGGGGCGCCTGGGTGGCTCAGTCGGTTAAGTCGCTGCCTTCCGCTCGGGTCATGATCCCAGGGTCGTGGGATCGAGCCCCATGTCAGGCTCCCTGCTCGGTGGAGAGCCTGCTTCTCCCTCTCCCTCTGCCTGCTGCTCTGCCCATTTATGCTCTCTATCTCTCTGTTAAATAAATAAATAAAATCCTTAAAAAAAAATTAAGTCATTTTCAGTCAAATAGAAAGATATAGAAAATTCATAAGAAAGAATGTTGAATCAAAGAAATACTGAAGGGTTTTTTTTTTTTTTTTTTTAAGAAAAAATTCTAGATATAGGCTTGGAGATGTGGGAAGGAATAAATACTAAAGAAAATGATAAGCTTATGAATAAATTTAGATGAACATTGTATAAAACAATATTACTTTTTTCTTGAGGTATTTAGATAAACAGAATTAAAATGTATCCCAAAGCAATATCATGTATGCCCAAAAGAAGTCAATGTAAATAAAACCTGATATGTTAAAAACAGATATTTTTTTACTTATTAGAGGACACCCTAACTTAATAGGCAAAGTGTATAACTTAAAAATTGACCAAGGAACAAGTGAGAAAATAATGTTAATACAGAAAGAGAACTCCACAAGAAAATAAAAGAAATAAAAATAAAAGAGCAGAAGTTGGACAAGTAGGAAGCACAAAGTAAGATGGTGATTTAAGTCCAAATATATTAAGTATTTACAATAGAGTTAAATAGACCAAACTGTCCAATTGCATATAAAGATTGTCAGACTGGACAACAACAATATCAACAAAAATAACATTTATATATTTCTTACCAGAGAAGGTATAAAATCAAGACATTAGTAGAACAAAAGTACAAGTATAGAGGAATGTAGTGCAAACAATAATGAAAAATAGATGTGGGAGCTTTGTTGATATATCAGGTAAGGTGAACTTCATGGCAAATATATTACCAAAGATAGAGATGATTGTTTCATAATAATAAACATTTAATTCACTAGGTAAATGAAGGAAATGCAAATACTGATGTCACATGGAATAAAAAATACCTATTATTTGGGATTGAAAAAGTAGATTGAAAAGAAAAAAAGAAGTGCAATTCCAGAGCTAGAACTATAAAACAGTTAAGACATATTTCTGACAAAGAGGAAAGAAATATAATGAGCTGTGTGATCACAAGAGGAAAATGACAGATTCATACAATTCTTCATTTTAGCCCATAGAGAGTCATTAGCACATTTTCCCATCACACACAGGTGGAAATCTCCCATTAAACCATTCACTGAGCACTAAGTGAGTCTGGGATACCTCCCTAACAATGCCCCAGGAGTGGAGCACACTGTAGTTATTTTTCTGTTAAGACCAATCAGCTTCTCTCACTGGAATTCCTTAAGGCCAAAATAGTTCTTCTCAGATTATCACTATCATATCTATCCTATATATACCTTTTAAATGTTAACTGCCCTACCAGAAAAAAAAAAAAATGAATAACCATGTATTTGTTTTAAAAAATCCTAATTTTTAATCTATAAGTTACAAAGAGTGACAAAAGAAATTTGAAAATATGATTTAGTCAATAACTCTAAACTAGCACTTAAACTTGGTTTTATTTCAGATTTTTATTCTGTGCATCTATGGTGGGCAGACTAATAGCATCCCCAAAATATCTATGCCATAATTTCTAGAACCGGTGAGAATATTATCTCACATGGCAAAGAGAGTTAAGGTTGTAGTTGGAATTAATTTTTCTAATCAGCTAACCTTCAAATAAATTGATTAGGCTGGATTATCCAGGATTGCCCAATGTAATCCCTAGTGTCTTTAAAAGTGAGAGAAGATAAGAGGTACCTGGGTGGCTCAGTCAGTTGAGCATCTGACTCTTGATCTCAGCTCAGGTCTTGATCTCAGGGTCATGAGTTCAATCCCCACCTCGGGTTCCACACTGACTGTGAAGCCTACCTTAAAAAAAAAAAAAAAAAAGTGGAAGGAAGTAAAATGAAAGAACTATGGAAATAGCAATGTGAGGAGGAGGTCTGACGCTGCTGGCCCCAAAGATGCAGGAAGGGACCAGAACTTAAAGAAAGCTAAGAGGCCTGTAGAAACTGCCAAAGACAAGGAGATATTGCTTCTCCAGAGCCTCTAGAAAAGAATCCATCCCTGCCAGCATGTTGATTTTATGCCAGTGTGACACATTTAGGACCTCCGACCTATAAAACTGTAGGATAATAGATTAGTATTTTGTTTTCAAGCCACTAAGCTTGTGGTAATTTGTGATTGAAACAATAGAAAACTAATTCAGCATCTAGATAAATCCCCTGCATTTTTTTCATCTAATCTAAATCTCATGGTTTAATCTGAAAAGCATACCTCTAGTTTTATCACATTTAGTCTTCCAGAATAGACACAAAATGCATTTGCATATATCTGAAAAACAGCCTAATATGCATGTTATTAATTAATCCAAGTGCAAAGCAGAATATGGTATCATTTGAGGCCCTACCTCCTTTAAAAACAGCTCATTGTAATATTACAACAAAAATAATCATAATTGTTGAGTTGCAACACACTAACGAAGATGTCTTTGGAGTTGGAAAGAGGGTTTGTTTTTCTCAGTGCCTTGGC